CTTTCCTATATAAATATAATTTGTTTAGATTAGGATTATTCTGAGCTTAAAACAAGTCAAGATCATCCAAAGGATCAAGATTGGACCCCAAAAGATCAAGGAAGGTACAAGGGGACAAGATAAAAAGAAGATTGAGAAAATATTTCATATACCCGGTCGGGTATAGGCAATACCCGATCGGGTATTGAGTTGATTCGGGTGTCAAAATCAGAATCTGGAGAGACAAAAAACGTGCAGGATTTTGAAGATTTGGCTCATGCCCGACCGGGTATGCCATCATACCCGGTCGGGTATGTCTAGAAAAGTGATTTTCCGGGAAACTGCCTAAAATACCCGATCGGGTACCTTATATACCTGATCGGGTACACAACCCTGCCACCTCCAAACACCTATAAATACACCTGTTTCCTTCACAAAAAAATCATCCCTTCTTCCATATACTTAAGCTCAGTTTAGAATAGCATTTCTTTATATTTTTCTAGCTATGTTTAGTCTCCAAATGAGGAGCTAAACTTCCATTTCTTGGTGTTACTCTTGAAGCTTGTTGATTATTAAAGTTGTGAGTTATTTTCTTAATTTCTTCCCTTGAATATTAATTCTTCTTTTAATCTATCTATATATTAATGTTGGGGAGTGTTGCTAAGATGACAATTAGTTAGCATCTCGACATTAGTTATAGTAGTATTTATTTTCTTCCTCTATATATTAATGTTGGGGAGTGTTGCTAAGATGACAATTAGTTAAGATCTTGACATTACTTATAGTAGGATTTATCATCTTTAATATTCTTCCTTGAATATTAATTAATTCCTATTCATATTTCATATTAATATTTTGAACATTACTTAAAGGATCAACTAGTTTTGTTTCATTTATTAATTATTACTAGAATCGATCGACGAATACGCTTGTTAATCGTTGATGGTTTCACAAGTAAGTAACTTCGGTTTATTAATGCACGGTCGTGGTTAATAAACTTAAGAGGGATTAATTTTGTTGGTTAAACCAAAACCGTTGTGTTGAGGTTATCAATCTCAATTGATTTCATCAAGGAGTTAAGAGATTAAATGCTACTATCAAGTCGGTATATGGCGGTGTTCTATACTTGACAAATAGTAAGGGTTATTAATGAACGGTCGTTGTTAATAACTACCCTCGATGAATTGGATATACTCCTTGGTTGAGTATTCGAGAGGGGATAAGTTATAGATATAACAATGATCGACTAAAATATATCAACAAGTGGAAAGTAGCAATGCCAAGTCCTTTTTATCTTTGAATTAAATCACATATAAGTTGTTCATCTTTGTGTTTAATTAAATTAAGCCATTCAATCCTAAACCCCCATTTTATTTACTAGTTTTATAAAAAGAGAATTATTCCTTTCCCTGTGGATACGAACTCTACTATGCTATACTACGTATTAGTGTTAGTATTGAATTTATTTTGACGCACCGTGACAAAGTGCACGTCAGCCCTCATACCATTTTTATATCATAAATTAGTTTTAGCATAGAAAATGTTTCAAAACTTTACTACTCCATATATTTATGGTTCTTTGATAAAAGTGTTAATATATGTGTTGCAGTGAAAAATATCATCAATTTTAAGTATTGTTTGCACTATAAAACTTGTTTAACACATTTTGTATATGATACTAAATAGTCCAAAATGGTAAAATAGTGAATTCTACTTTATTAAGTTTAAACATTACCAAAGAATGTTATTTCAAAAAATGTAACAATATGATCAAATTTGTAACAAGACTAAAATTATTACTTATGAATTCTAAGTGGTTCTTTACAAGGGAAAAAATAATTTTTTAATTTAAAATTAAATCGTTAATATTTAACATAAAATAAATCATTCTTTTTAATCATTTTAATAATGATTTTATTTTATTTCCTTCAAAAAATGATTTGTTTTATTTTTAGATAGGTTAAATGGTTAATCTAATTTTTTAGAAAATAAGTATTTCATAAAATTTCCATTTTTTAAATCCTATATATTTTGATTTCTTGGTGTTTTTTTATAATTTTTATTTAAAAACATTAAAGGGTAGTTTGCTCTGAACATAAGAGATATCCTTACATCTTTTAAGACTTAAGAGGTATATCTATATGGGCACAAACACAATACTGTATGCTAGCGGTCAATCCTTATTTAAAAAAACACTACAATATGTTTAGACACATTATTTAAGGATGAAATAGTAAGAATATTGAATATTGTAGAAAAAGTAAGACAGAAGAGGGAAAAATATGAAATATGAGATAAACAGTAAAAAAGTAAAGGTAATTGAGAATTTTTAAAGGAAAAACTTATCAAAAAGGAAAAGTGTGGCAAACTTTTAAATATATCAAAAAAAGAAAGTCTAAAACATATTGAAATATGGAGTTGAACACATTTTATGTACACACCATCTAATTGCCTATATACACATTCAGTTCGTTCAAAATCTGTGAGCAGTACAAAGATAAATTTTAGGGGAAAATAATTTAAATACCCCTAACTTTAATGAGGTGTGAGATAAGTACTCCAAACTTGCATATGTAATATATACCCCTAACTTTATACAAAAAGTTATTTTCGGACCATGATTGTATGTTTTTACAAATACAAATTTGTTGGAATAATTATATAAGTTAAAATACTCTAAGCATGGTAGAATGAAGTTAACATTCTAAAATTTCATTTGTGAAATAAAATACATTACATCTGATACAATTTAATTTTAAGTGCATTCTCATAAATGTTTTGTGTAGTTTAAATTATGTACTTAACACCATAAAATTATATTTGTGCAAAAAACATATGATCATGGTGCTAACATAAAATTTTAATTAAAGTTGGGGGTTTATATTGGGGTAGTCATGTCACACCCCATCAAAGTTTGAGATATTTAAATTATTCCCTCCTAAATTTTAAGAGTATATTTGCACTTTTTCAATCATCCTACAATAAAAAATGGCCAAAGAAAAATCCTAAGTGTACTTGAGTTTACCCTTTACATTGCGACATATAGTTGACCATGCGAGAAAACTGATTCTTTTAAGTATATCCCCACAAAATCGAATGTTTGCTCTTGTCCCTTATTTATTGTCATAGCAAAGCAGACCTTGATGGGGAATTGATGTCACTTGAATGGTAATGGACAGTTGTCATCCTTTGAAATTTCAAAGGGTATTTTTGGTATGAAAACATGTTTTCCCTTGTGTTCTCCCGATGCTATGAAACAACTAATAACATGATCTCAAAAGTCATCACATATTAAGCGGGTCCCGTTACACAATCCTTCAACGGGGTTAAGGTTCCGTAGTAAGATTACTGGGCATTTTTTTTCAACACCAACTTGTGGGGACTAAGCCAGACAATGTGATCGTGTGTAGGAAGTATGCATACTCATGATGTGGAGATCGATCAAATCACCATAACTAATGTAGCATTTCTCTTCACCGGGCATGGTGGTAATCAAGGTGTTATTTAGGTCATCGACGAACTCATTTTTGGTCGTCACTATTGCTCGTTTCATAAGTGGGTATGAGTCATTGATGAACTCGTTTAGGTTTGGGAATTCAAGCAACTTGTTCAAAGATTTAGTTTCTGTTGTGTATGGAATAAGAAATGATTCTAGAATCTCTGAAAATAGTTTTTTCGGTTCCATTACCCACTCGCATCAAGTTTTCTGAAAAAGATGAATCTTCTTTTGCTCGCATATTTTGGGTCAAGACTAATCTTTCAACTGATGGCCAAATAGTTTCTGATCTGACAAAGTTGACAGCAATTAAATTTCTACTGCTCTAAACCCTAATTATTGGCAAGGTTTGTCGAAAATCACCTTCAAACACTACTACTTTATTGCCAAATATGCTATCACAATTTGTAATGTCTTGTAGTGTGGTGTCAACATTTTCTATCGTTCTCCGATTGGTCATTGTTGATTCATCCCACAAAATCAACTTGCAGTCTCTTATTAATGTTGCTTCAGCACTTTGCTTTCCGATATTACACACAAACCTATCATCTGTGTTTATCGATATTTTGAACCTAGAATGGTTGTTGATGTTGCAAGTGCAATTTCACGATTTGATCATATTTTTGCCAAGAGGCATCTAAATAAAAAAAGTTTTCCAGTACCGCCTGGCCCGTCTAAGAAGAATACTCCCCCATTACCAGAGTGAACATGACTTATGATTGTGTCAAATGCCGCTTGTTGAGGTGTATTCAATGATTGACTAGCTAATAAATCAACTTCATTAGACAACAAACTATGTTCTGCTTGTATCTCTTTTAAAATTCTTTGGTCTTTCACTCTTTCATAATACCAATATGAAAGGTATGAATTAGGAGATAAAAAGTAGAAAAAATAAAGGTAATTCAATATTTTTAAAGGAAAAACTTACCAAAAAGGAAAAGTGTGGCAAACTTTTAAATACATAAAAAAAAGTCTAAAAAAATATTAAAATATGAAGAGGGTATATTATAGGAAAATGTAGTTTGTACACATAAGTTGTACACATTTTATGTACACACCCTCTAATTGTCTATATACACAAGTAATTCGTGCAAAAACTGTGAGCAGTACGACAATAAATTTTAGGGGGTAATAGTTTAAATACCCCTAACTTTAATGAGGTGTGAGATAAGTACACCAAACTTACATATGTAATATATATACCCCTAATTTTGTATAAAAAGTTATTTTCGGACAATGATTGTATGTTTTTACAAATACAAATTTGTTGGAATAAATATATAATTTAAAATACTTTAAGCATTGTAGAATGAAGTTAACATTCTAAAATTTCATTTGTGAAATAAATAATATTACATCTGATACAATATAATTTTAAGTGCATTCTCATAAATGTTATGTGTATTTTAAATTATGTACTTAAATTATTTTCTCCTAAATTTTAAGAGTACATTTGCAATTTTTCAACCATCCTACAATAAAAAATGGTCAAACAAAAATTCTTGGTGTACATGATTGTACACGAAGTGTACACAAAACCTCATAATTATCTTGTATACCTGCAATTCATTTGAAAATAGGTATAATTAGAAAAAGTATACACAAATTGTACACAAAATCCCCCTAGTTGCCTGTGTACACAGACAATTCATTTAAAAAGTGGCAGGACTTGATGTCAAATGCCTGTGTACACAGACAATGTACACATTTTGTGTACATCTTGTGTACACCAAGAATGATCCATAATTTGATGCAAAAACCTCTGATTGCATGTGTATGCAAGTAATGGACAATTTGTGTACTAAAAAACAATTCCACATGGCCAAATGGGCTCCTAACTGACGGTCTTTCAGCCTTTCTTTCTTACTTGTGCCAGTAAAGACAGAACTGTAATTACTTCTCCAATGTAATCTTTTACTGCCATCGCTATAGTAGCAGTAATTACCTTCGTGTTCTCCTCCCTTTCTTATTCTCTTCGACATACTCCGTATAAATTAGATCAGATACTCCATAATGCTCTGTGCCCGTACTTCTCCTCAATTTCTATTGCCGGCGTGCTCGTCATAATCCGATCACACCGTTCCGAGAAAACGGAACACTACTATTGTAAATAACAGGCAGGGAAATGAGGCTGCCGATGGTTGATTGCCGGGGATTGATCGATTTCTGCAGGGCTTTCGAGCAGCACAAGAACAGGTCCCGATTCCAATCCAGCAAGAACAAGCAATCACAGGACAAGATTCCCTTGTGCTCCGATCACTCCCCGATGGCGGCCCTTGATTTGGTATTACTCATCTTGGTTCTCGGATCTCTGGGTTTTCTCCTAATCCCCTATTTCACTTCCGTGTTCGCCGAGGCTTTTCCGATCATCTGCGAAATCGTTCTGGAGTGTATCAACGAAACCCCCGTGGAGTATTTCGTCGGTGTTGTGGCGGCTCTATCGGGAGTTCTGGTAGTGATCGTGGCCTGGGAGGTCGTCGATTTGCGGTCGAGGAAGTGCGGGAAACCTAACTGTCAAGGATTGAGGAAAGCGGTGGAGTTTGATATCCAGCTAGAGTCCGAGGAGTGTCTCAAATATCTTCCGGCGGAGGCGTCGTTCAATGGGAACACCTTTTACAATTACGGCGTGAAGCCGTTGGAGCTCGGGCAAGACCGCAAGGAGCTGGAGGCTGAGCTCAAGCGGATGGCGCCGCCGAATGGCCGCACTGTTCTCATCTTCCGGGCACCCTGTGGCTGCCCTGCAGGTAGATTGGAGGTTTGGGGGAATAAGAAAATCCGTAGGGTTAAGAAATGAATTTACAGTCTCCCAGAAATATATATTTATACACACTTTGTTATTATTGCTATCCAAAGATCCATTCTTATACCATGAATAAAGTAGTAGTATGAGATATTAGTGAATCTTTTCATATCATCATCATATAGATATGCATACCAATAAGATCTTTTGATAACGCTGTAATAACAAATGCACAGATGATTTTGTATAGTACACCTAATCCTTCCTGCCCTCTTATGTATGTTCTTTATTTGCTGAGATCATTTTTTTGTTGCTCTGTTAAATAATTATGCTATTGATAGTTAAAACAATGCTGCTTCCTTTGAGCTTTGTTAGGGAAAGTGTAACTTTTTCTTTGTAACTATCAGAAGCATTTGTTTTCAAAAAAGATTGGTTATGCTTCTATAAGTGGTTATGTTTGTAACATTCAGAAGCATTTGTTTTCAACAAAAAAATGTTCGTCTTCACTCCCTGTCATTAAGAGTGATTCAGTTCACAATGGCAGTTTTGCATAAATTCATAGTGGGAACTATTTTTAGACAATTAGTTACATATCACTATGTTTTCCTGCCAGCTACCCCAACTGCCCAACATAATTAGGATGTAGATGATGATATGAGGTACATTAGCTTATGCGTTTTGTTTATATTTGTCATTGCACCTAACCAAAGATAAAGACCAACTTCACATTAGTTACTCTGAAGTCATTGGAGTGACACAAATCAGTGTAGTTAATCCAATACAGTCTACATACAAAACTGCAAAAGCTTACATTCTAAAAGCTAGTAAACTACATTTTTATAAATCTGTACCTTATACTTCCATAAGTGGTTTCTGTAGCTTGAGTCAGTGACCTCAAAATGACATGCTATAAGCTTTATCATTAACCGTTACTGGAGTAGTCGAGTTTATAATATTGAGCTTCAAATACACACTTTTGCATGGTCTTCTAAAAGAGCTAGGTGGCAGACTGGAGGGTATTTGCTGGGGTAGACAGGTTGAATATCGGTGGGGGGTTCAATTTGAATAGAGAAAACCTTAGCGACCATTTGAAGGCCAACAACCTGGGTGATACTTCGCGGGGAATTTAAGATAGAGAAATATACCCCATCCTTTCATTTTTACTCACTAGTAATTTTTTTTACAGATAGAAAGAGTAATGTTGTAGAGTTGGTGAATGTGGTAAAAAAGTGGAAAGAAAAACAGATAGGTGAAACAAATGAGAAAGAAGATGAAAAAGTACTAATGTGTATGCCATCCTTTCATTTTTACTCACTCTACTAGTTTTGTTTTGTTTTGTTTTACAGATAGAAAGAGTAATGTTGTAGAGGTGGTGAATGTGGTAAAAAAGTGGAATGTAAAACAGAAAAAGGTGAAAAAGAGGACAAAGAAGATGAAAAAGTACTAATGTGTAAGTAGTTCGGTATTGCTGTGCCAAAAATGGGAGTGAAGCAAGTAATAATAAACCTTCCTTGAAAGGAAAGTATAGAAAAGAAAAGTGAATGGAACTAGTATCTGCTTTTGAAGCCTAATAGGAAAGTATCTAGTGGCTAGAAGGATCAATCTAACTTTTTACTTACCTCAATAACTGCCACCACAACTGATCATTCAGAAGTTCAGAACTGAATGACTTGCAGAAACATTTGTAGAGGAGGAGGTATAGTAACTGACTAAAAACAACTTGTTCTGTTATTATTTGGTTCCCACTCCTATTGATGTCATTCAGCAATGTCTCTTTTGCTATAGCTGAGTAGCTTCCTCTTCTCAACCAAGGTATCTTGAGATGGTGGTGGGAGATGATATAAAAGTTACGTTTGTTCTCAATATATGTAATTAGATGTGTATTAAAATATTGATATTGTTAAAACGTATGCACCTCAAATACTATAGATACGGCCATACAGGTTCTCCCATTGATTGCTATAACAGGTTCACAACACTCCTGCTCAATATTAAGCCTTTGTCTGATAACCTAGAAGTTCAGACTTCAGAAGAAAGACATGCTAATGAAGCCAAATAGTGGTGTACAAGCACTTCTCTTAGTATTTACATATAGAATTAGTAATAGGTCCTTTTATGTACATTAAGTAAATACAGTTTACATCGCTTTATTTCTCTGTTCTCTCTCTTACCTATTTCTCTCTTCTCCATTTCTTCCCGTTTTACCTTTTCGGAAAGTCCCACTTAAATTGTCCCATACCATATTTGGCAAAGTTTCTGTGGCTCTAAATCATTCTTACTTTATCAATTAATATCAACCACACAAACTCACTTTTCTTAATAAACGTGTCACCCTCTTTAGTCCCAATATAAATGGGACGGATGTAGTAATACATAATACTTCTTGGTTTGTTGGTACTCTCTCATTTGTGATGTGCCCTTTGCTGTGGAATACTCCCTCTGTGGCTCCGTCCCTGAATTCTTCAAACTTTCCTTTTTTTCGTCCGTTCCGAAATTATCTCATCTTTCCCTTTTTGGCAAAGAATTTGTGATTCACAATCATTCTTACACATTTATCTCTCATATGCATAACTCTCCATCACACAAAACCCACTATTTTAATCCTCGTGCCGGGTCAAAAGGGGAGATAAACATGGACGGAGGGAGTCCCATTCTATAATTCCTAAATTAAAGTCACACTTTCCTTTTTTGGGTGTCCCTAAATAAAGTCACACCTAATTTGGTAAACAAATCTATATCAAAACTAAGGGTGGGATTTTGGAACCGGGAACCGTAGAACCAGTTGGAACCGAACCGTGAAAACGCGGTTCGGTTCCTACAAATGTCGTATTAGTTGTTAACGGTTCGGTTCCTAGTTGTTACTAACGGTTCGGTTCCTGGTTCCTATAAAAAATATGTGCACGGAACCGTTAGTAAAAAATAAAAATTGTAATAATAGTAGCGATAGTAATAACAATAATATCAACAATAACAATAGTAGTACCATCATGGATATTTAGCCAACGAAAACAGAAGTAATCAATATTGCACATGAGATTGAATAAATTAAGCTCATGTTTACAAATCAAATTTTGTTACATATATTTTACTTCACTATTTTCATGATATTTTTAACTTTTAGATTTATTGTAACCAGCAAATAGACCGTAATGATGCTTTTATACCTATACATGCAAACTCAATGTACTAGTATTTTTTAAGTTTTGAAAGACTTGAAGTGGATGTCCTATCTTGCTACTGTGATGATGAACAACCTTCATTATTACACATAACAACGAATTTTATGTTCTACTTATTAAATGAAAATTGAAATCTTTTTTTGTTTTATTAAATGTTCACTTAGTTAAGTTTGAGTTTTGATATTTGAAGTGATTAGAACTTTAATACTTGTGTTTTGAAATTTTTTACATTTTTATGTGGTAGAAAGCAAAGAATATGTTAATTAATTAGATGAGAAAAAAATTATTCAATGAATCGATATAATAATAACTAATACAATTTCTATATAATACAAGTAATATTAATAACTAATAATAACATTTAAAAGATCGTGACCTTACAATTTTTTCACGATGACTACACTTGTAACTTAAAAAAAACTCTTAGAGCATCTTTAATCAGAGACCTGTCAACATTAAAAAAAATTGTGACATATGACAATACATTATTGAGTTAATTATCAAAATAGGACTAAAAGTCATTCATTTTGCACAAATAGGATCAAAAAATAAACTATGTTTCCATAGGACTAATTATGTGTATCTTGGACAAATATACTCTTATACATATTGGAATGTTTTAATTCATAATAAAATAATAAAAAATAATAAAAATTCGTAAAATATACCAAAAAATTAATAAAAATATTTTGAATAATAATAAATTTTAAAAAAAAAATTAAAAAAAATATTTAAAAAAATCAAATTTTTTTTGTCACCGCCGCCTCTGCCGCCCCAGCACCACCACCTCTAGTCATTTGGGGAAAAAATGCCAAATTTATTATGAATTCCATATTTTTGGCATAATTCAGAATGATTTAAGATGGAAGAAAAAAAATGTTGGCATTGTCACAGAGAAATATGCCATATTTTTGACATTTTCCAAAAAAAAAATGGAAGTTTGTAGGAAATATGACATTTTTTTAACGGTCGGAGGTGGTGGTGCAGGGAGGCGGTACCACCACCTCCTGTCACCGGGGTAAAAAATGCCAAAAAATTATGAATGCCATATTTTTGACAAAAGTCAAAAGGATTCAAGTTGGCAGAATGAAAATGTTGGCATTCTCATAGAGAAATATGCCATTTTTGTGGAATTTAAAAAAAAGTGACATTTTTTACACCGATCGGAGGTGGTGGTTCAGGGAGGTAGTCAGGCGGTGGGAAAGATATCCATATATTTTTTTAATTTTTTTTATGGAGTTTTACTATTTTTTATTAATTTTCAAAAAAAAAATCTTATTTTTTATTTAATAAAAATTTTATTAATTTTTTTATTATTTTTCTACGAATTATTGAAATTTTTTCGAATATATTATGAATTAAACATTTAATTATGACTTTTAGCTATCTTTTACTAATATTTAAAGGAGGGGTAAGAATGGAAGGAAGAAATGAGTATGTTTCCAATAGGACCACTATGGTCCTATGATATTCATGTAATTTCCGACTGTATGTTTGTATTTTTAACTAGTTTTTATTAGTTCTAGTTGTGGAGATTACACACTTTTGGTGTAATAGTTTAGTTTGTAAAAATGTTTGTAATTGGTTTAGATCAGGTTTATTCTGAGCTCAAACAGGTCTAAAATCACTCCAGGGACCATTGGTGAAAATCACAAGTGGAAGGAAGGTGCAAAAATTCCAAAATAAAATGAAGATCCTGATTTTTGGTCTTGTACCCGGTCGCGTATGACCTATACCCGATCGGGTAAGTTGCTGAAAAATCAAATCGGATAAATCCGCGAACAAGGCAACGTGCAGGGAAGATTTTAACCACGATCGAGTGTCTATACCCGATCGGGTAGCCGACATACCCGATCGGGTATGCCCATGTTTTTCCAGCTTCCGCGAAGCAACTGAAGGCCAGGTCGAGTACCCTATATACTCGATCGGGTACACGACCCTGCAGGCCAGCCTAAAAAGCCTATAAATACACCTCATTTCCTCCACAAAAAAAAACCAATTCACATATACTCTTTAGCTCAGTTTAGATTAGTATTTTCTTTATATTTTCTATCATGTTTAGTCTCCAAATGAGGAGCTAAACTCTTCCATCTTGGTTTTGCTACTTTGAAGCTTAATGAATT